GGAAATGGTACCCGGGTGATCAAATTTTGGTATAAAGGATTTTTCTATCATTTAAATATTCTATCAGGTGTTTTTAGTCCTATTTGATGTGTCCAAAGTATTCTCATAGGTTTGTGACCATTAGGATGAGATTTGGACAATTTTGAAAATGGTTTTTACTAAAAAACTGTACTTTTGCATCCGGGTGTCTAAATCTTAATCCGACTGTTGGATATCTCTAAAATTTAGGTCACAAGTAAAACCTTTTATAAGCTTCATGTGGGCTTTGGAATCACGTTAATCGGATATCGGACGGAGAAATGAGGTACTCCAAAATTTAGTTCGGAGGAGCTGTCATGACAGGAAAAATGCTATCATGACAACAACAGTGACGATGTTGCAACTTGCACGAAATTCAATCCATATGTTGAATCTTTTCAAATTTTGGTATGCTAGTAGTACTCTTTAAAAGTGACATGTGGGATTTTGAATCGCTTCAATCGGAGGTCGGATGATGAAATGGCGTACTCTGAAAGTTAATCCAGAGATGCTGTCATGACAGCTTTTTAGATGTCATGACAGCAAAAATGACCAAACTTGTAACGTGTTTAATTTTTAATTCGACCGTTGGATTTTTTTAAAAGTTTAGTACACTTATAGCACCCTTTAAATGTGATGTGTGAGCTTTAAAATTTCTTTAATCAGAGACCGAATGGTAGAACGGCGCCTCCTAAAAGTTAGTTCGGGAGGGCTGTCATGACAGCAATTTAATGATTGCTGTTACGACAGCATCTTTTTACCTCGCTTTCGCCTAGCTTGCTTTCATGCGTTATAGGTAAAACCTATAAATTTTTTTATTTAAAAAAGTTTTAAATGATTACTTTACAATCATGTATTTGCTTAGTGATTTAAATGGTTTGTTTCCTAAGTTGGTTTTAGGATTAACTCTTTAACTACACTTAGTTTATTTAAATTGTATGATTTGTGAATAACACTCGGGCAAATGTTACACATATCAACACAAGTTATACATAGTACCAAGTGTGGATAAAAAAGTATGTACATTGGTTAAATGTACTAACCAGTGTAGTTTTGTTGGAAAACATTTTTTATAAATTAGAAAATAAATCCACACTATTTTCACAAATAATCAATATAGATATCTTAAGAATATTTTTGAATTATATATATATATCTACACCGGTGCCATGAGTAACCAGTGTAGATATCTCAAGAAATTTTTTTAAAAAATAAATATATAATATATTTATATATCAGTTTTACATGTAACCGATTTAGATGTCTATATCTACATTGTTTATGCATAGAATTGGTATAGATATCATGTCATATTTCTATTTATTTAGAAAAATGTCACCACCTTCTATTTTTACACCATGTGCGCCTGAACTGGTGTAGATAGATGGGTGTAAATGGCATGTTTTTTTACTAGTATTTATTTTTTGATTGCTTACAGGTATTTTCTTATTTGAAACAATCCTATTTAAGACACAATTAGATATTAAATGTGAGTAATCTTCCAATAGGTGGAGAATTGTTTTATATTTAAATGTTTTTAAAACTGTTTTCATGTTTTATTTTAAAAAAATAAGAAACATCTTAAAATTATTTTTTTTATTTGCAAATCATTCTATATTTAACTATTGTAACTTGCTTCAGCTAAGGCCAACTATAGGTCACTATTATTAACTATTATTGACCACTACTATTGACCAATTTTTTAACTCTAAAATTATTTTTTAATTCATATAATCAAACAGGTTTTTTTTAGTTTTGTTTTGAAAAACAATAACCAAACGAGCCCATAACTTAGTCTAGAAAAAGACTGTTCAATTTTTATAACAAGGATCATAACATAGATGTGAACATACACTTAGATATGACTATTTGAGTATTTAGATAATAACAATGATTGAATTTGAATTAATTATTAATTAGTAATATTAAAAATCATATAATTATAAAAAAACAAATTCAATTTTTTTTTTCCTTTTTCCTAGTGATATGAAGGTAAATTACTTTTAACAAAGTTATTACATAGCCATCCTTAAAAAAATTCACATGGAATAGAAGACTTGAATTGAGAGTTTTTTCTTGAGATAGAAGTATCAATAAAGGCAAAGCCACCTCATGTGACCTCTGATTAGAAAAAAAAAAAAAAATTTCTTAACATTTTGTGTTGTGCATGTTTTGTGTCTTCATTGGCTCACAAGACCTTATCCTTCAAGCACTAGTTCATTTTCATATCCTTTTTAATACTCCTTCAGGTATTACATATTCTTATATTAAGTTTTATAAAACACTTTTAATCAAATTACGTTTCTCAATATCTTAATTAATTATCTTTAAAATTACATTCTCTTTTCATATTTACTATTGTTTAATAATACTCCTCAATTAGAAAATATTATTAACTATCACCCTGATTTTAGTATTTAGAAAAATTTAATTGCAGTTTAAACAACCCAAAATGCCTTATATATATTTTGAACATGATATTTTTATAAAAATTCCTTTTAATATTAAAGGAAGGGAGTATAAAATTGGAAGAATGACAAAAAAGTTTTAAAAGGATTGATTAATTTAAGTTAGTTCCCAAGTGTCAAACTTTAAAAATTTATAACTCAATCTCTCAATTTTACAATTGCATTGTGATGAATTTATAACTTATTTTTTAAATTTTAACATAGTTTAAGAATAAAAAAATTATCTCTCTTATTAAAATTTAAAATACAAGTTACAAATTTATCATAATAGAATTACAAAATTGAGGGATTTAATTATAAATTTTTAAAATTTGACACTCGAAGTCTAACTTAAATTAATTGATTCTTTTCAAACCTCTTTGCCATTCTCCCTATAAACTTCCCTTAACTAATTCATGGAATACAAAAAAAGGTAGATCAGTTTGTTATATTTAATTAATACCTTGTTCAAATCACAATATAAAGAATTTTTTGAAAGTTTTATTTTATTTATTTTTTTTTAAATGATGTATTGAAATTTCAATTATCAATATCAAGACATTTATTTAGGATCTTTAATGAGGATTTAATTGAAATGATGTAAACTTTTTAAGTGGATCTTATATTTAGAACTTGAGAGAGTATATATAGTACCTAATTAATATTCCTTCCTTTTTTAAATATAAGTAAATTTTAATCATTTCACATATTAAGTACCTTAAAATCAGTCAAGACGAGAATCATTTAATTGATCATGCCCTTTTTTTAAAAGTTCTTTTTGGAGAAATTGTTTTTTTTATTTACTTGTGCTTTTAAAATATGGCAAGACATTAATAATTATTACTAATCTTAAAAGTCCAAGACAACAACTAAGGACATATTGTGAAATTAAATAAAAAATGCAGTATTTTTAAATTTGAGTTTTAAAATTTGTAATGAACTTCCTCATGCAAAGAAAACAGAGGGAGTAGTAAACATGGCTGGCACTTTAGCATATTAGAATAAATATATGCAATTAGTCATAAACATGATGAGGGCAAGCAAATCCTGAGGTAATATTAGCACTTAATGATTTTTATTTTTTATTTTTTTAAGTTCATTAATCTATGTAACTGTTGTAGTAATCGATTAATTTTTGTGTTGCCATCAACTATCCAATTTGAATAGCGCTGATTTAATATTTTACAAAATTATTATGAAAATATAAAATTAGAAAATAACAATGAAATCCAAACTACTGATATTTGATTTAAATAGTTTATTATTTAATTAAAAATAAAATAATTATTTTGTAAAATATTAAATTTGATCCCTTCAAAATTTGATTTAAATATTGATACGGGAAGCGAAAAGGAAAGGGACAAGATGATGCAGCGAAGCTGGGTCCAATCAAGCATGATAATATGGCATTTAATCAAGAAAACAATTTGACAATTTTTTTAAAAAATGAAGGAAATAATAAATTTAAAAATTAGTAAAAGTTAAAATAATATTTGTCCAAAAAAAAGTTAAAATAATGTGTGTAAAATTACTTGTGCCATGTTTGGAAAATCATTATATATAATAAGAATTAAGGAACTATAACCGTTTGAAAAATGACATGATAGCATAATCCGACTTCAAGTTTGGCGTGTTGGCTTCTATGTATGATGTGCATGATTCATGCGCCAGACATGCGGATCATGTGTGCTTGACATAAACAATTAAAGAAATGGAGTAAATATTTAAGACTTTTATCATATATAAATTAAGAGATTAATAGGTCCAAATAAAATTAAATTTTTTTGGTAAAAAAATTAAAATATTTATTAAAATTACAGAGAAAATTGAAGTCTATAAGTTATCATCTGATCTTGTGAAGTTAATCAAATTTATGCTTATTGAAAAAAATGTAACTTCCTATAACATTAAAATTGTAAAAAATGTAACTTTCCAACTTTATCTTTCTTTACATAATACTTATAATAAATTATTATCTAAAAATTTAAATAATAATAAATAAATAAGAGATAAAATTAAAAAAATAATTACTCAAACTTTACCTTGTATTAATGACTAATTATTCTAAAAATCTAGAATAATCCTTGTAATCAAAGCGTTGTTTATATTTATTGTTCCTTTTAAAAATTTAAAATTTAATATTTTTTTAATATCATATGATAACATTTTTTATAATTATTTGATTGAATCCAATTATTATTGTCAAATGAGATATTACCATCCATCGGATCCTAATCCGTAGAGTGCTTCAATTCCTGTGCCATTTATGAAGCTTGAAAATTTTGGTGACAACGCACGCTTACAAGAAAAGAAACAAAGGAACCGCCTTTGTCATTCTGGGACCCACAGAGACTCCATTTCTTTTATTATTATTATTATTATTTTTGGAGATTCCAAGCTTAACCAGGGCAAGGTTGGGTTAACTTTTGACCACCCTCATGAGTTTAGGCCCGTTTGACCATGAAATACTGAAATAGTGAAATGAATCATCACTATTGTCATATTCACAAAAGTTTCCGCCTTTATGAGTTTCACAATTCCCCAGAACAATCTACGGGTTGATTCAACAATCAATCACTGTAATAAACTAATAATAACCAATAAACTTGTTACATTCTTCAATTCCTTTTACGTACATAAGTAAATAAGCATGCTCATCAATGTCATACATGATGTGAAGCTAGCTGGGCATTAGTGTTGAGTTGAAAACTGTGCGTCACATAATAGAGACGCGCACACGCCGATCACCACCATATCAACTGGAATCGCCTTTTTCTTGAGAGGTCTCTGTTCTTCTTTGTCTGTTCTTTCTTTCTTTCTTCCCTCTCTTGCCTCATCCAACTAATCCAACCTGATATAGCTTGTTGGAATCGAAAAGTGAAAACCCATCATCAACAATCATGGCTTTCTTGGTGTATTTACTGCTTCTCTCAATCTCAGCCTTGATTGGCCAGTCAAGTAAGCGATCCTGGTTTTCTGTGCCTATATGGTGTTTGTGGTTTTTCCTCAACCAGATTTTGATGATTATGAGATCTGGGTTTTCACCACGTTCTTGTCTTTGTGAGATGGGTTTTGTGTTTCGATTAAAGAGAACTCTGAAGCCTGCTTTTAAGATCAGAAAGGGCTAGAGAAAAAGGTTTGATCTTGTGGGGACTAAACTGTTCTCTCTCTTGAACAGGTGCTCTTTATTGTGTATGCAAAGATGGTGTGGGTGATCAAGTGCTTCAGAAAAATATAGATTATGCTTGTGGAGCTGGAGCTGACTGTACTCCAATTCTTCAAAATGGAGCTTGTTATAACCCTAACACTGTGAAAGATCACTGTAACTGGGCTGTTAATAGCTACTTTCAGAAAAGTGGTCAAACTCAGGGAAGCTGTGATTTTGCAGGCACTGCCACAACAAGTGCTAACCCACCATGTAAACTACACTACCCTGAATTCCTGATCCTCCAAACTATTTTTTTGGGGACTCAAGCTTGAGGGATTTTAGTTTTACTGTTTCTAATGCTCTCTCTCTCTCTTGTTCTTGTGGCCTTTTTCTCATTGATCTGCAGCTACTTCATCTTCTTGCGTTTATCCCTCAAGGTATGTCTCCTGATTTTGGATCTTCAGTCTTTTGTGCTGTAAGTTGGGTGGAAGTGGGAAATCCCCTTTTTTTTTTGTCCTTTTTTTGTTCTTTTTTAAATATAAAATTGGGAATCTTGTTCAAACCTGATTGATCTTTCCCAGTTTTTATTCAATAATCTTTTTGCAAGAAACCAATCCTCTGTTTTTCATTCATATCCTCTTGTTATGTTCTATTTTGCTGCCATTATTAGCATACAAAAAGGATTTCATAACACTTTTTTTCCCCTCCTTAGAGTTCTGTTCTTGCAAGAACGCTTCTCAAACTGATTTGTTTTGTAAAAAAGAAGACAGAAATAAAGACATGTTTTTGGTTTGGTTTGGTTGATCTATCTACTTTCCCAGATTCTGAAGTATAAAAAGTTTCAGCTAAAAGGTCCTTTTCCAGATATACCATCATGTTTCTTGCCTGACACAACAAATAATCTCAATTAACTGGCATGTGATCTGGATGTTTCATCAGTAATTTGTCTTGTTCTATCCTCTCACGTTGTTGTTGACCCAAGATCTGCCCTAAAAACTGCATTTGATCAATTAGGGTCCGGATACTTAGTATATAATCTTGTTGATCAATTAGTTAGCTTCTTCTTGCAGCAACACAGGCACCCCAACAACTGGTACACCAGGAACATCTCCTTCCACCATCTCACCACCAACCGGCACCGGAACAGGAACCGGTATTGGAACCGGCACCGGCACCGGCACCGGCAATGGGAGTCCTGTGTTTGGAATTAGCCCATCAGCATCTACATCACCATTCAATGATGGTAGCAATGGGGGAAAGATTCTTGTGGAAGGCACTAAACTACTGATTCCTCTTGTTTTTACCTTGTGGTTATCTTTTCTCAGATTCTAAAAGGTACAGTGCTTGCTGTTATTGTAAGTTAGGATTGATGTTGTTGTTGTTGTTGTTGTTGTTGTTGTTGTTGTTATTTTATTTTATTATTAAAAGGAAAATACTGGTGGGGTTTGATTTGTGGATGAGATTTTGCCACTGCAGAGGATGGGTAGTCATGTAAATTTATTTTCTGATTTGAGAGAGAATCATCCAGAAACAATACCTCAATTGGGTTTAGTTAGAATTTGTTTGGTTTATTATTGTTATTATTATTTTTTATTTTTCTTACATTTTCTCCCTGTTTGTGTATCTGTGGGAGGCAGTATTTTATATTAAAAAAAATTAATGAAATTTTAGCCACATAAAATTGATTGATTATTCATTCTAACGGCCGACGTGTCGTTTTCAGCTGATGGAGACGTTGTATTCTTTTATGCGCTTGTCAATGCAAGTACGTGGCGTGACCCCTTTTGTTTAGAGAGAATTTCATTTATGAATTAGAGACGTGATTGATTTATTCACAATAAGATCAAAAGATAAAATTGAAATTATCTTTATATGTGAAGTAAGTAATAAGTCATTTTTCCATTTTTTATTTGGTATAAATAAGTTACAAAATTAATAAGTATTGTGAAATTAATTAATAAAATCATATGATTAATAAGTAATATAGTTTAGTTTAAGAGTTATTGATTTAATGAGTGAAGTAATTAATAAGTCATGTTGAAGAACTAACAAGTAAAATTACTTAACAAATGATATAATTCAGTTGAGTGTGTCAAGCAAAATTAAGTAATTAATAAATTTTGTTAAAAAATTAATAAAAAAATAACTTTTGATTCCTGCAGTTTGGTTGTATTTTATATAGGTATTTGTATTTTTTTTAATATTTTGGGTCTCCATAGTCTCATTTTTTGGTGTTCTAGGATCTTAAATGATCAAAATGATCAAAGTGTGAGGACATTAAATGAATATAAAATACCAAAAATAATAGTATAAAGATTTAAAATATTAAAAAAATATAAAGATTTATAATAAAATATGAGTAAAGTGTAGGAATTAAAAGTTAAGTTTTATCAAATTAATAAATAAAGTTACAATTTAAAGGGCATTTTGGTCCTTTTTCAGAAAAAAATAATTTTAATTTATCCTTTATTTTTGTAATGTAATTTTAAATTTTATTAGGTTTGATTTGTGAATTAGTTAAATGCAAAGAGTCAATTTAAAAGTTTGATAAATGAGATTGCAATCACTGTGCTGCGTGGATCGAACAATTAATTAATTAATAATTGAAGAATGACAGAGATCAGGTGGGTTTTTTCTTCCTCTTGCGTTGTGTGGGGCAGATTTTGTTGGTTGGAGACGAATGTCAGAATAAGTTTGTTTGACTGATATTACTGTGTCACCGACAAATATGAAATAATTTAAGGCTATGCCTATGGCTTACATTATTGTACTAACATAGGACTCTACAAAGGCATCAAAGGCATCAAAGGCTATAAGAGCCGGGCATGAAAAGGTACCTTCTTGAGTACTGTATTTTTTAAATGCTAGCCTTGAAAAAATTGACAATTTTAGTACAAAAAAGCTTTAGGGAATTGGGCTTAGCAAGCTATTGAGACTTTATATTTTTTTTATTATTTTGCTTATATAATTTAGATTTTGAAATTAATGAATAAGAATAATTTAATTTGTTATACATTTATTTTAGGTAATAAAAAAGAAGTGAGTGAGGTTGTTGAAAAAACGTCGCCTCCTCCAAGTATATTTCTCTCTAAAAAGTCTAATGCCTTTTTTTTAAAAAAATTAAAATGGATGATGATAAGAAATAAGGAATATACACATTTTAAATATTTGATTAAAGTAGTATGTAATTTATATATATGTATGAGTATAATCCGAAAGAGCCAACACTAACTTTTACATTTTTTTATGAGTAAAATTAAAAATTTTAAAAAATTTGAAGGGACCAATGAAATTATGGCGGAGGCAAGCACCCTCTTGCCCCTTACATATGTATTTGAGTATAATTTAAAATTTTAATCTTAAAAAAATTATGAGCTTTTGACTTCGGCCCTATCAATAAGGTTGCTTGATAAAAGTAATGATATTAAGATAAGAGGGCTTATGGATTTAAGTGCCAAGTTTACATTTATTGACAGCTTTATATTATCTTAACATATGGATCGTTTAAAATTTATATGGGTGGTTTGGGTTTAAAATTTTCAAATGATAAAATTATTTTTAAAAAAAATATGACAATGAAAAAATTATCTTTATTTGAAATCAATCATGTGCCTTTTAAAATAATAAAATCAAATTAAATCTACACCATTCAAATTCAAATTTAATCCGTAAAGTCCACATGTAAGAAGAGCACCCCATGAACATGGAATATGCTCTCTCTGTCTCCTGAATCACCGACTCGCTAGAAAGTTTAGCTATCAATATCACTTTATGTTAATATTATATTTTTCTTTTCTAAATCCCACACATAAAAAAATGAATTTAGTTTAACATGAAATGTAACAGGTAAATGAAATATTATATTAACAACAAAATTAGGTGTTAAACAAATAAATGGTCGGTGGCTACGTAGTTATGAAGCCGCATTCAATTAAGTAGTTGGTGTGAATAATATAGACAAGTGAAGCATTTCACCGCTTAATTTAATTACGACGTGTATTAATTAGATCTCCCATTCAATATCCCACCAAAAAAAAAAAGAAAAGAAAGAAAGAAAGTGTTGCTAATTTTTGTATTTCAGTTGCTTGAAAAGAACATGAAGTATAATAAATTTATTATTTTTATAAGATAATTCACATTAATAAATTTTTTTAAAAATTAAATCTGAATACACCTAACAATTTTGGATACTAGTTTAGTATAAACTAATAGATCTAACATGCATTTTAAAACCACTTGATTTGTGTTAGTATTCTGAAACTTAAGTAAATTAGAGCTTGTGTCAATTAAAAAAAAGTAAATTAGAGCGTGTTTGGTAGCTTAAATTAGGGTAAGTGTTTTTGAATTTAACTATTTTCAAAAATGTCCCATTTTTTGTTTTTAAATAAAAAGAAAAAATATTTTAAAATTTTTTTATTTTTTTTTGCTTTCAAAATATATTACACGTGATTATTAAAAATGAACGGTCACTATATACACTACTATTATTAATCTGCAGGAATCCTTACTATTTTTTTTAAAATTGTAAAACTGTTTTTAAATTAACACAAAAAACATATTTTCTTTATGTTTTGTTTTGAAAAATATTTAAAACATTACTCCTTCCGTTCAAAAAAATAAACCATTTTTAACCGAGTCTCATTCTTAATAAAGTAGTTACTTATTTTTCAACTAACCTTATTTTTTTATATTTACTTCTATTAAACGCCCTATAATAAATATAAAGTCATTATTAATAGGGGTATTTTTTAAAAAAAGGCAATGATTACATCTTAAAAAAATAAAAATACCTTACATTTTTAAACATTCAACTCCTTAAAAAATATCTTATATTTTTGAACGGAAGGAGTATATTGTAAAATAATTTTTAAAAACAAAAAAATGAAATACACAACCAAATGGGTCCTTACAATGCCAGCCATATACTTTATAATTGCCTAATTCCCCAGATGAATGAACTCTATGTGAAATGGGCGAATAAAACTAGCAAACACTTCCATATAGTTCTATATATAAAACCACATCCTAAAAGAGATTGATGATTATAAATCACTTTGTATATAAAAAAAATGGATTATAAATTACTCTATTTTAATTAGGAAAATTATTGTTAAGGAATGAAGAAAATAATATTTATTATAAATGACTATAAAAATTAAAATTAAGACAAAGGACCCATATAACTGTCAGTAACTATTATAACATTAATATAAACCCTGTTAATGGTACTGTATAAGTGACAAAAAAATCTTTTAAAGATAAAGTTGTGTGGATTTCAATTTCGCACAAAAAAAGTATTAAATTTCATTAAATCTATATATTTTAAAAAATAATTACTTTTTAAATAATTAATCGAATATATTTTTGAAATAATTAATTTTTAAAAAATTAAATTAATGTAATTTAAAAATATTTATTTTTAAAAAAATTACTACATTTTATTTTTTTCATTGGTTTAAAAACATTTTTACTGTCAACTTATATTTTTAAGACTTATTTTTTTATTTACCAATATCAAAAATGTAACTTTCAAATTCAATTTGAGACATGGTTAGAGAAAATATAGGAAATTTAACTAAGGGCAATTTTATCTTTTAAAATTTATACTTGGTATTTAGTCCTTCTCAATACTTACTATTTTTCAAGATCCTTTATAATAAGAAAAAATTAATCACTTAGTTCTTATAGTTTTGACCCGCTTGTAACTCAATTCTTTAACCTTGACTTATTATAAATCAATCTTTATAGTTTTAATTCGGTTATAATTCAAGCCCTAACTTTTTTATCTTGTAATTTAGTCTCTATAGTTTCAATAACTTAAATATTGGTTCCTATATTTTAAAAAATAAAATTATAAAGATTAAAAATATCTTGAACTTTTAATATTTATAATATTTAAAAATTGAGATTAAAACTATAATATTTTGAAATTTTAATATTTATAATATTTTGAACTTTTAATATTTATAATATTTATAAAGATTAAAAGAGTTTAATAATTTAAAATATTAATAATAAATTTTGAAAATATTATAAATATTTTTATTACTAATAACTTTATTGCTAATATTATAAATATTATAAATGTTAAATTTTTAAAATATTTTTAATTTTTTTAAATTTATTTTTTTAATATAGGGACTAATATTTACGTGGTTGAAATTATAGGGACTAAATTGTAAGAGGCAAAATTTAGAAATTAAGTTACATCCAAGTTAAAAATATTATAAACTTTTTTATCTTGTAATTTAGTCTCTATAATTTCAATAATTTAAATATTGGTTCCTATATTTTAAAAAATAAAATTATAAAACTTAAAAATATCTTAAACTTTTAATATTTATAATATTTAAAAATCAAGATTAAAACTATAATATTTTGAAATTGTAATATTTATAATATTTTGAACTTCTAATATTTATAATATTTATAAAGGTTAAAAGAGTTTAATAATTTAAAATATTAATAATAAATTTTAAAAATATTATAAATATTTTTATTACTAATAACTTTATTTCTAATATTATAAATATTATAAATGTTAAAATTTTAAAATATTTTTAATTTTTTT